AGCTAAGAACTTTTCAGTCTTTTATTTCAGTCATATCTATAATACGTCGAATCGAGCCCCGAAAGGAAGAGAAAGAGTGAGGGTGGATTTTTCCTTGTTATTTAGGGAGAGAGAGAGAGGCTGCTGTCAGACTCTTTGCAGCGAGAGAAAGATTGATCACCGCACTTCGTTTTCTTCCACTCGGGGCTATTCGGGCCCTCCCCAAAATATTCCCAGCTAAACAAATGACCGCTTCTTGATCTCTCGCAAAATCTACATGTGCGTCCTGTTGAGTCTAAAGGCCACTCTCACTTACAGTTACCATTTATACTGCTGCTGTATTCTTTTTATCATAAGAATTAGAGTAGCTTTCTCTCCTTTTTCCCCAGCTGGGTGAAGCGACCTCGCTGTGAACTCTCCCTCTCCCTCTGCGTAAACACGGCGAACATTTTAACACCGTGGAGAGAGGGTGGGAGAGGAACCGTGGTATCTTGCAAGAAGAATTTTGGAGCCTCTCTGAAAAGGTTATTTTAGGGTAAGATTATATTTAGACCTTGTTTAAAGTTTCCTCCCCTCTCATACACACCACTACGTAAACGTGATATCTATTAGATATAAAAATCGCACACTTACACATCAGTAGGCTCCCCTCACTGTCTGTCCTCAAATCTAAGCTATGCTCTTGTAAACAGTTCCCTCTGCACTACCGCTGAGCACAAATCTTCATCGTCCACTCTTCGTGCGCTGCTGCGCCACCTAAAAAACTCTCAGAATGTTCTAAGCGTGACATTTCCACCCTCTGTCACACCTTCTAAGATTAATGAGCAGCGCGTTGTAAACAGGAGACATATTGTAGACGGTGCTGGCCGGCTCCATACACCTAACCGTCACCACATCACCCAGAAGACGGGGACAACATGCTCAAGAAGAGGATGCTCTATTGTTTGTGCAGCATCACCGGGCCTGGATGCGCCGGCCAGTCGCCCACACTGCGCACATGGCGAATGGCCACCGTATCGGGGCTTTTTTTCACGCCCTGTTAAAATACAACAATGGCAGCTACCCTGCGAAGTAGTATCCTGACACGACATTTGATGGAAAAAAAATAATAATGCTGCTTCCCACAGCCATCACAGCCGCCTGGCCTGGGTCCAGGATTGGCTGATTTGGATCACGTGGCCAGGAACTGGCTGCAATTTCGCCCCATAGTTCTTCAGTTTAGACTACCCAGGTCCCCACACGCTAGTAATATCACCAATATACACAATTATTATATAGCCACGGTGTTTACGCCATTGCGGTCGGGAACCTACATGTTCGTGCGTTTTTTTTTCAGTTGATTTTTTTGTGAAGCCATAGTGTGTTGCGTGCGTGTGCAAGGGTGCGTGCGTGTATGTGTTTTTGTTGTTGTTTCTTCTTTTTTTATTTTTGGGGAAGGGGCTGTTCGGAGGGTATCGCCGTTTCGGGGTAAAAGCCCGTTTGAGAGAGCTATGAATTTTGAATTTGAGAGGGAGATCGGTTTCATAAACAGCCAGCCGTCCCTAGCAGAGTGCCTGACGTCCTTCCCCGCCGTCCTGGAGTCATTTCAAACTTCATCAATCAAGGAGTCGACAGTAATTCCGCCTCCCTTTGAGCACACCATCCCCAGCTTCAGCCCCTGCACAGCCAGCCAGCCGAGACCAGCTGCGAGAAGCCAGCAGAACCGGAGAGCCTCCTCCACTAATGGCCTCCAGACGCATCACGGAGCCGCCCAGCAGCCATACACGACCGGCCAGGCCCCCGCCCCGGCCACGGTCACCCCGACCGGCCCGATTGCCCACGAGTTCCCCTGGATGAAGGAGAAGAAATCATACAAGAAGTGCCCCAAGCCAGGGAGCAACTCCAGCGGTACCGGATCCATCATCCCCCCCGCCTCATCCTCCCCGTCGTCAACTGCCTCTGGGTACGCTTCGGCGGGCATCGAGTCACCCACAGGTCGGTATGGTGGGATGCCGGGTAACAGCGTGTATAGCTGCATGCATGTGTGTGGTAGTGAGTAAGAGAGTGTGCAGCATGTTCTGTTATTTTTTTACTCGCATCACATTTCCAACAGTTATTACACCCTGCGTGGATATACTTGAATGACATTGTCTTTTTCCCCCTCCGTGTGTGTTTGTGTGTGTTTTGTGCAGCGCTGTGTCAACAGGGAAGCCATATCTAGACTACTGCATTATGCTGCAGTGCTTTGCACACTCTTTCATCATGCATTAAACAACCCATTAACGTCTTACAGATAATCCTTGTCAGTGCGGATCAATACGTGCACGCCAGCCATACTGAGGGCAGATCTTTTACATAGGCACTAAATAATTTCAGAACTTTCGAGAATCGAATATGTATTAATTCCATGTATAATTATTTGTCTTGCGTAAAAACACACACGAGAGGTTTTTTTTATTTCTCTTCTTTTTTTTAATTTCATGTTCATCGCTTACATATTTGCTATAGCCTATATCGCTTTCAACCTTCTTGGACGATGTGCAGTAGTAGCAGCATGGTCACGTTATTATAGATTCATAACACAAATGAGAAGGTCGCCATGTTGGATGGAGGTGGGAAAAAATAATGGCGAGATAAGGACAAAATACGTTTGGGTGTGGAGGTGGTGGTGGGGGGTGTAGGTTTCGTCCCCACAGGAAACGCACTGCACACTATCTGATTTTGTGGGATTCAGGTTATTTCTATCTCTCACACTGAACTCTCTAACAGTCAATGCATTTTTCAAAATAAATAAATAATTTTGCAAATAAATAAGTAAGCAAACAAACAAATCGATGAAATAATGAAAGAAAGAAATTCCAGTTCTCCATTCTTATCCCCACACATTTAGAAATCTACCTCGTATCAATTTTAATGGGAATTTCTCGGCAAATTTTCTGCCTTCTTTTCTGAAGTACGAAAAAATCAAATCGAGCTTTCAGTTGTGTTTCTGACAAATACCGCCACATTCCACATTTCCACACGCATTTCCTTCTAGCTCCGTGATTTATTCGTGTTCCTCTCTGATCACAGAAGGCAGAATCTCATAGCCCTCGCTGATTTACAAGACACAGAAGCACACTTTCATTGATGACATAGTTATCTTTCACTCTTCTGAGTGACGGTTGCTACTATAAGTGGAAGGTATATTTTTTAAAATATTAGTATTAGTTCTTTTTTATTACAGGCGAAGAGCCAAGGTGAGCTCGGCGACGAAGTAGCGTATTTCTTGCAGGAAAAAAAAAAATATATATATATGGGGTTTTATTTATTGTCTTTGTTCCTGTCCAGACCCGAGTCAGGCGGGCCTAGACGCTGGAGGAGCAGGCTCCCGCCGGCTGCGCACCGCCTACACCAACACGCAACTGCTGGAGCTGGAGAAAGAGTTCCACTTCAACAAGTACCTGTGCCGGCCCAGGAGAGTAGAGATTGCCGCCCTGTTGGATCTAACCGAACGGCAGGTGAAAGTTTGGTTCCAAAACCGGCGGATGAAACATAAGCGGCAAAACACGCACGGGAGCGGAGGAAGCCATGAATCCAGCGACACGGGAGGCTTTGAGCCGCTCGAAGGCGCTGACGCCTCCTCCCCGTATTCAAGCCAGCCTCTGGAAGCATCTGGCACAGGGGAGACTGCCTCGGAGGGAGAGCCGGGAGGCGGCAATCCATCTTCGGCCGCCTACGCTAATGACAGCGGGGACAATGCACAGCCCACACCAGAGGAGGGAGACCGTTTGAGTATCCCCGAGCGGCCACCGCTGTTTACGGCATCGGGGTGCTCTGACTCTGCGACGGCTCGTCACTCTCCGCCGGCGTTGGCGGTCACCAACTCTGCTGACAACCCGGGCCTGATGCAGCTGAGCGAATCCGTGCCTGGATTAACAGCAGCTCCCGAGCAGCAGGACTCCTCAATTACACCCACAGCTTCATCTGCTCCTTCTGCCGTATCTTCATCGTCCACCCTACCCGACCTCACCTTCTTCGCCGGGGACCCCTGCCTGTCACCCAGCCTGCAGAGCACCCTGGACAGCCCTGTGGATTTCTCAGAAGAGGACTTCGATCTGTTCACAAGCACACTGTGCACCATAGACCTGCAGCACCTCAACTTCTGAGACCTCGACACAAATTGAAAGTAGGGTCAAATAAAAGCGAGTGGGGCAGTGGGCAGAGGGGCCTGCGTTAATGAGAAATCCAGCAGAGGACACAACACTTATTTATTTAACAGAAAAAAAAGAATATTAAAGCTTTTCGGCAACATTCCTGAAACCTTTCTCCATTAAAATATGTTTTTTTTGGGTTTTTTTTTACATATTCTTCTTGCTTTTTTGGAGGGCATCATAGTTTCAAAGAAATCCAATTAATTTTTCACTTTAAAACATCGAAAGGATTTTTCCCCCTCCTTTGAAAATATGACAATATGTGGATGTATTTTTTGTACTTGACTTTCTCGGTTTGGAATTTTATTATTTTTTATTATTTATTTATTTCTTCTTTTTTTTTGGGGGGGGGGGGGTGTAAATCAATCCTTATGAGTTTGTGGATTTGCTTCCTCTAGTTCATCCTGGTGCAGCTTCATGGATTCTTAAAAGCTTCTCAGGAACTGTTCACGGAGTCTGTAGGCGCAGATATCTGTACCGTTTTGACAAAATCCAAATGGGACAATGAATGAATGAATTCTCTCTTTGAACGGCACGACGCAGAGAGAGGGAAGCCCTGCTGATGACCGGAGGTTTAAACACTAGTTTATTTATTGAGATTCTTTAATAGTGAAAATCCAAATTATTTATTGTACATATATTTTCATAGTGGAATAACAATAATAATAAAAACACAAACATTTATACTGTGCCCCATGTTTTTTTTATAGTCTCTGAATTTATAAATTAGCACATTTATGTGTGTAACCCTAACACATAGTATGGATTAATTTATTTGACAACACTAAATAGGTTAGAACGTTTTTAGACCAACAACCTACAAAATTAATTTTTTACAACACAATTTTCTAATTGTTTATTTATTACAACTATTTTTAATTATTTGTATTTTTATATATAAAGCCTATATACATGCTGTGTTTTTTGCACGGATACTTTATACATTATAACCACCTCCAAAGCAATTGAATCCAATACACTTTTCAAATTTCTCATTTCAATTCCAGTTTCAATTTATTTATTTTTTTATTAGATAAGGATTAAATAATTGACCTGTTAAAATTCCTAAAATGCTTGTTTAGTTTTTCCAACTTAAAGACTATAGCCTAGGAAACTATGTATAGCTAGTGTGTTTACATGGAGATAACCTTGATAAATGGGAGCAAAATAACACATTTTCCGGAGCTGCTTGCCTTCATCAGGTGTTAGCTCAGCACGGCTAGCTCTCTGAGTACAAGCTAAGGGTTAGCACAGCGTGGCCCTCCTCCACCATCACCACCACCACCAGCAGCAGCTATTATTACAAAGTAGCAAGAACAGCAGTGCTAAAAAACAATGTAGCCTTTTTTACTGACAGTGAGTGGAAGAATAGCAAGGCTCACCTGCTGCTGTAGTATGTAAACATGGAAGTTAATCCCTGATTGGCGTCCCTTTATTAAAATGTGAATGTGAAGTTAACCATGAGTGTGTCTGCCATTAGTGTGTGCGTGATTGCAAAGCTGCTCCTCCTCCCGCGGAGTCAAAATGGCGCTGAAGACAAAGCAGGATGTGAACAATAAGCAGTAGCAGCCATTACAGGATGATCAGCTCAGTGTGACAGGCAGGATGTTTGTGTGAGGACAGCGAGCAGAAAGGACAGAAGAAACATTTTATATTTATTTTAACAAAGGATTATGGTTGACTGTTCCCATCTTATAAGGAAAAAAAGTAGAGTATAAGATGATAATGGCAACAAAATAAAAAAAAGCTTTATAATTATTTGAGTGTAAAAAACAAAGCATATCATACATACATACATATATATATAAAAATTGTAAAAAGAAAAAAAGAAAAAAAAGAGCTGCATTCTATTACACAATAATAATAATGTATAAAAGTTATAATCTGATAATAAAATGTATTAGTTGCTAACATAATTAAAAAGTCCAAAATATAAATATGTTGTACCAAATTTAAACCATTTTTGGCTTATTTATTTGAAACAATAAACTGCACAGATAAAAACTGTCCTGTTCATGCTTGCCTGTGGGTATGAGCTGTATTTCTTTGTCATTAGAAGAATATAAAAATTTTCAGAATCAATTTTTTTAAAAATCCGGTGTCAGATTTTACTTTACATACAGGGCATGTGCCCAAGTTAATGGGCATTGATGTCCATTATTAACCTGCCACAGTCAGTAAAGAACATTTCACATTAACATCTTACCATCAGCACATTTGTTACACTTGGCCTTGTTACACCAGTGGCCTTGACTCTAGGTTTAAATAAAGTTGATCTTTTGTTGAGTTTTAACCCTTGACTTAACTCCTATTGGTGAGCTGTATTGTTTTTCTGTTTTTTCTTTGGTTATATTTACTTTGATAACATATACTCTCTACCCCATGGCATGATTATATATATATATATATATATATATATATATATATATATATATATTATATTATATATACTATTATTATATATATTATATTATATATATATATATATATATATATAGATATAGATATAGATATAGATAGATATATATATGAATCGTGCAATGAGGTAATTCACCATAAAAAATAACAGGAAATGGTATAGTGTGTAATCGTCAGCAAAAAGACAACACTGTTTTCACAGTGTCTTAGTAATGACAAAATAAACAGAGACAGAAGCAAGTGAAGTCTATGCATGTAAGTACAAGTTGTAAAATGGATAGATGTATAAGAGTGATTCCCATGGGAACCAGCAGGTACAACAAACACCATTTTTCTAACAATAGTGCTGGGTGAAGACACTGACACTGGTATCAAAATGTTCTGCATCAGCTATCCAAATTGTTCTTAAAACTCTGCTGAATGACATACTGATCTGAGTAGCAATTGTGTTTTCACTTTCTGTAACCGCAAACTGCAATGTCACATGCTGAAATTATTTTGCAAATATGATAAGATGACAAAATATGATGAGGGAGAAGATGTAGGGGTTATTACAATGTCGTTACACAGTCAATATCCACCTCAACATCACCACATCCAAACACCATATCCTTTATTTTTAAATTAAAGCAAAAGTCTCAGTTAAGGAATCTGACACTTACATAGCACTTTTATATTCTAACTGAGCACTCAAATTGTTCTTAAAAAAAAAAAAAATTAATATTTAAGATTTATTGGCTAACGTCATTCCATTCCAACAGGACTCCATTAGAGCCTTACCTAGATAAATATAAACACCTTTACAAAAGTCTCCCTTCTTCTTTCATTCAGTTCCAGTATGCTGTTAAATTGTAAAGAGTTTGTCTATATAATATCCGACCAGATGCATTGGTTTAGATTATAGAGAGGAAGAATCAGACACTGCAGCCATGCTTCAAATTACAAATTATAACAAATTATCCCAAAATACAGATGTTTAGAATGTGCATAACGTTTTGGACATGGGAACATATCCTGTGTGTCTGTGTGTGTTTGTGTGTGAACAGATGACACATGCACATTTTAGCAGGTTACCTGAAAAATAGACAGAAGCAGCTTAATAGATGGACTGACCCTTACAGTCCATAGTTCTTATTTGATCATACTGAACTCTCAAGCCCTTTTGAACGTCCATAGATATCCACAGGAATGCAAGATAATTTAGTTTCTAATGCTCAGAAATTGCCCAGAGCAGAACGTCTACATGTGTCACCACTAATACCCAAACACAGTTCCATGCCTGTGCCCTGCAGCAGCACATAGGAAGAAACACTTGTTGCGCTAGAATAGAGCCATGAGGAATATGACTGACTGAAGGCACTGTGAATTTAATTTTACTGCTTTGCTGTTTTAAACAAACCCTTTTAATACCAATGCTAAACATTCTGCCAGCCAGAATTCATATTGTTTAATTTAAAGCTGTGGTAAAAGCTTTTCGATTGAGCAATTGCTTAACCCTCTGAGGTCTAGAAGCACTGTCATCTATAATGACTCCAACCCCTCTAAACATATCCCTAGGAAATCCAAAAAAAATTAAATGTCATTTTAATAAATTGTTCTCCCTTGTCTTGGAAATCAACAAGCAAAGAAAATAATCACTCTGACACAAATCTCAAATTATCCACACTGTTGGATCTGTTTTCTGTGATAAAGAGTTTGCGCAGGGTTAGGGTTAACATCTGTGGTGACTTAGACCTCAGATGGGTAAAAGAACATTCCCAAGAAAATCCTTTGGTCTCTTTGTTTTGTTAGTGTTTAAGGAAAAACTAACATTAAAACAGTCCCGACTTGAAAAATGGCAAAAAAAAAAAAAAATCATATTTTGCATGGTTGAATCTTAACAAGGTTCCAAGTAGCGCTTTAAGCACACAACAATAAGAAACCGGAGTGAGATAAAACATTTTTTTGAACATGCAATTTATTGAAAACAATAATAATTTTACAGCTGGTCAAACGTTTAGGAACACACCTCCAAAAAACCCATGCCTTCCCCCCACCAACCCAGAAATCAGATCTCCAAACATGAACTCATTAATGAGTAGCTCCACCATTATTGTTGATCACTTCAAAAATTAATTGCAGCATCAGTGATGCAAGCGTTTCCATGAGCTGAGTGGGAACATTTCTCCAAGTGGTGAAGACGGCAGCACGAAAGGTATCTACTGTTTGGAACTTTTTGTCCAATTTTGTAAACCTCCCTTGCCATCCATCCCCAAAGGTTCATGAATCCACATTTTCACACAGATTTGGCCTTTTAAAGGGATGTGGTCCTAAACTTCTGATCAGCTTTAAAACAGCTTTTTTCAGTTTAAGCATTGTTTTCAGTAAATTGTGTGCTCCAAAAATGTCTTGTCTCATTCCCATTTCTTATTGTTCCATGTTGAAGCTCTACTTGGAACCTTGTTAAGATCCAAACATGCAAAATATGATTTTTTGCCATTTTTCCAATGGTCTTAAACTTTTCATCGAGGCTATATAAAGACCAGGCACAGGCCTTATGACAAGCTAAATTACACTGTACCATAAAGACAAGAAAATAAGAGATGTGCACACTAAGCAGTTTTGTGCTTTAAAGGTTTTTGTTTGTTTGTTTTTGGTAAGAGCAGTTTGAAAAAGTTCTTGGTAGGTGTGGTTTTTATGATGTGTTTGTCTCACCCTTCCTATATTGTGAATAGTGTATATGTCCGAATATTCAATCTTATCTTTATGTCTTAAATAGAAAATGGACTGGTTCTTTTATAGCGCTTTTCCACTCTACCTGAGCACTCAAAGTGCTCTCATACAACATGCCTCGTTCACCCATTCACAGCCACTGTTTTTGTGTTTAAGTATTTACTATTTTATACTCACTCTCTAATAGATGCATTGGAGAGTAGCTTGGAGTTGATTACTTGTCCAATGATATTTGGCACCCACAGTAAAAAAAAAAAAAGAAAAAAAAGTTAAAGTTAAAAAAAAGTTTTTTGTTTTTTTTTAAAGTTAAAAAGAGTATACTGGTGCTGTAACTGATTTTATATAATTCTTCACCTTTCATAACTACACTGTGGTTGAATGACAACAATTAAACAATCTTAAACAATGAGAGCACACTTCCTGTGCCTCAATATTTAATTCTGCTAGGTTACTACTGTGAAACAGTGCACAAGTAGTCTAGCTCTACCAGGATGGCATGTCCATAGGTACATTTACAAGAAGCAGGACAAGACAGGATCCTCAGTTGATGTCTGATGTATACAGATGATGTATACCGATGTATACAGTTGATGTCTCTGTATACAGAGACATCAACTGAGCCTCAGGATCAATGTTTTTGTGCAAGGAGGAACAGAGCAAACTCTGCCAGTTTTTTAGTGGGACATCTCTCACAGTCCAGCACCACGCAAATTGTCTGACATTCCCCAAAGAATACTGGAGCTGGCTGGTCTGCCACTGGTATCTTGTTCTTTTCACAAATAAGAAAAGGTCCACACAATTTCAGACAAGATGACATCCTGCTACTAGCACAAAGTGTTTTTCTTCCTTTTATCATCTTTTGCTAAGATTTATTTGTTGAATTAAATAAAATAAAAAAAATAGTAGTCAGTCACTAAACAATGTACTTATATAAAAAAAAAACACCCAGCACGCCCCTGCGGGCGGTTTATCCTTCAAGCTCGGGTCCTCTACCAGAGGCCTGGGAGCTTGAGGGTCCTGCGCAGTATCTTAGCTGTTCCCAGGACTGCGCTCTTCTGGACAGAGATCTCCGATGTTGTTCCCGGGATCTGCTGGAGCCACTCGCCTAGCTTGGGAGTCACCGCACCTAGTGCTCCGATTACCACGGGGACCACCGTTACCTTCACCCTCCACATCCTCTCGAGCTCTTCTCTGAGCCCTTGGTATTTCTCCAGCTTCTCGTGTTCCTTCTTCCTGATATTATATAGCAAGCTCACTCCTCTCTTGATATAATAAGAGGGAAGAGTTGCTTCAATAGTTTAATAATAGTTAGCAGACAGCTCTGTTAACTATATGCAGTGTGTCAAGCTATATTGCTGGAGTAAAGACTGTATATTACATTAGAAAGCTATTGCCACTGAACTTAAATTTGGTATACTTGCTTTGCAGATGCAGCATGTTTTGTTGTGCCTGCTGGGGATTGTAAATGGTCCTTTTGCCTCCCTCAGAATTAGTTACTGATGTTTTTACAACAATTTTAAATTCTTTTTTCTGAAAGTAAACACTGGTTGGTTTTGTAAGGTCCATGTGCGGTCCATTTCCTATAATCTGCAATACTGCAAAAAGTCTGCAAAAGGTTTTCCCATGTCCATTATTATTATATTATTATGTTCATAAAGCACAAGGTCCAGTT